CAGGGTTTGTGTGTGTGTGTGTGTGTGTGTGTGTGTGTGTGTGTGTGTGACACACACAGGCTCTGACATGCACACAGTAAGTCTGAAATCATGATGGAGCTACAAGGCAACTTATGAGCATCTTTTTTTAATTTTATTTTGTAAATTAATTTCAAATGTATCACTTTTATGCACACAGTAAAACAGTGGTTTGTTACATTTTCTGAAGAAGAAAAAAATAATTGTTCTTGTCAATGCAAAAGTCACTGCCACATTAGTTTAATAATGACAACAACCTCTTTGTTCTTTGACAAAATATAGTTATATTGTAAGTTATATTAATGTCCTACCTTCATCAGAGATAGAACACTTTTTAATCAGCCATTCAACAATATCTGCACCTGTATAAAATCAAAGAATACTACAGTCAACATAAGCACACTGTATCTGACAAAACATTGATCTATCTATCTATCTATCTATCTATCTATCTATCTAGTAAGCACTTCACAGCACCAAGCTCATTAATATTAATATACATGTTCAAACAGCAGGAAGCTGCCATCACCAGCTTAGATAGAATAAGCATGGTTTTTCAGCAAACTACTGTTATATAAATGAGTTATATAAATAGGCAGAGTTTATTTCCTCACTTGAATAGATTTGGATAAATGTAGCATTACATCACTTGCTCATCAGTTGAGCCATGACTTCTGGCCAAAATATGACTTGTTTAGAACTTTTTTTTGCTTGTAAACGGTGCTTGAGCTGTGTATATGTCTCTCCTGATTCAGATGAGAAGACTTTTTCACTGGAGAAAGCATATTATTGATTGAGAACTATTTTAGCCAGAATCAACGGTTTGAAGTTAAAAACGTCTTAGTGACGGATTTACAAGTCAATAATTGATGAGTTGTGTGGATTATTGTGATGTTTTTATCAGATGTTTGGACTCTCATTCTGACGGCACCCATTCACTTGCAGAGGATTCATTGGTGGGTAAGTGATGTAATGCTACATTCTCCAAATCTGTTCTGATGAAGAAACAAACTCATCTACATCTTGGATGACTTGATGGTGAGGAAATTTTCAGCAAACATTCATTTTTGGGTCAACTGTTCCTTTAAGTGATTTTGACCTGTAATTATCTTTGATTTGCCAAAGAAAGTAATTTGTTCATTTACTCGTAGCCCCGTGTCCTCTGAGAGACCAGAGCAGGCGCAAAACATGCACTGTTAGACTAATTAATAGCAAGAAAAATTAGCACAGAGACTGAAAGCACACACAGGAATCTAATTTCACTGCGCAAGCTTCTATTGATTCTCTGTCCTCATGCGCACTCAAGACTTTCCAAGATGGATGCATGGATACTTTGCTGTTAAATGCCAACTTTTTCCACAGTAACAATAGGGAAATATTCTAGTCATGCCTCAGCTGTCTCTCTAATCGTGCCATAACATGTCAGGGGCTGGAAAATACTCAGAACAGTCATGTCCATTTGGGATTATCAAGAGAGTGTGAGTGAAGCTTGAAGTTTGATGCAGTCATGGAGAAAGAGAGAGAGAAAGAGCAAGAGAGAGACTCACCAGTCATTGCGTGTGGTATGACCGTAATAAGGAGACACTGGTTGCGCAACTTGATGCCCATATCAGGATCCTGCATGGATATGATCATGCGCTCCATCTGTATTTGGGCACACATGAAATATATGTACTTTTAAAAATTCCTTTATCACACCACACAACTATTTGCAAAGTGCACAAAAGCTAAAATATGCTTAAAAGTGCGAAAAGCATAAAAAAATAAAATAAACCTCTACACATTCCCTTATAAACAAATAAATTAAAAAAACAATCTTGAATATATTTTTTAATCTGTTTATTCAAAATAAACAGATAAAAAACATCAGGATGCACCTCTAAATAAATACTAACTTTATTTTTTTTCAGTCAAATATTATAACAATTTTTATACATTTTTATTATATAAAATTTCACAAATTAATAAGTTGTTTAAATGCTAAAGAAAACAGCAAAAGCATCAACACGATAAACATAACAGGAGGAATTGGATGACTTGTTGGTTTGTTTTTAAAGAACTGCTGTTATATAAACCAGTTATATAAGTAGCCTAAGAAAAAGCAAACACAACTTTAATTTCGTCTTTTAGGACTTTAACACATTTTTTTAGTAATGCGAGGAAAGTTCCTATAGTCTTACAGGCAACAACTGTAACATTATGAAGCTCTGGCTCGTTTACAGCAGATGTAAGACTGTAAGAGCTAAATGAATATACATCTTAGGGTCTCACCTTAGTCAGACAGAGCATTTGCTGTCGCTGCACTCCGTCCTGACTGAGTGTGTCGATGGTCATGTTGACGGCTGCTCGGCTGCTGAAGTTGAAGAGAGCTGAACGATGCTTATACTGATGCTGGAGAGTCTGCTGTCCTGTCAGAGAGGCGATGGGGTGGCGCTACATTCGACTACATGTGTCATAATCAGGTACGAAATAGCGCCTCCCTGTGGTGATTGATTCAAATTGAAACAAAATCAAACAGATAGTAGCTACTTCAGCTTCACATTTTTAGTTATTTGTTTATATATTGTAACATAAAAGTAAAGGGGAAAGTGATTATTTTAGGCGGGCAGTCGTGGCGTGTAACCCAAAGCATGGCTTAAAGTTCTCCGGCGTGCGGCGGAAAAAAAGTCGTCCTACATTTAAAAACACTTGTTGATACCACGTTCGAGTTAATACATCAACATATTTCTAAATATGCGATTTATTGTACATCGCGATTTCAAAATAAAAGTTTCTGACTTTGCATGTGGCCAAATATTAAAATTAAATGAATTTAAACGTCGTTGAATCACACGAAACATCACCAAGCCGTTGGCGCCCTCTGCAGGTATTTGTTATACTATAGGCATTACATTGTGTATTTAATAGTGTTGTTTAATAAAACCATGTACTTGGTTTTAATACTTTATTTGAGGCCAATTATTATTTCCTCATCGTTACTTTATATATAAATACAGTCATATTAAAGCCTGTTTTTCCCCTTAGTTCTATTTGTATTACTAAAAAATATCAGATTACTCACTTGTCGAAATAATCAGATTACTGATTAGCAAAATAATCATTAGGTAAACACTAGATTAGTTAAAAAAAATTCTAAATACAACTGCATCGTTTTACTTTTTGTGATTAAAAGACACATATTTTGTCATTTGAAAATTTCTTAAAGTATTAAAACATTGTCTCATTCTAGTGCACCAATTATCTGCATTTTGTCTCACCTTGTGAGCTAAGCGTATCGTCACATCCCTAGTGTCTATGAGCATGATAAAGCTCATCATTTTCCAAGTGTATGATATAGCTTTCATTCTTCAGGTCAATCATATATTCATGAAAAAAA